GAAAAAATGTGTCTTTCAAAAATTTGTTCCTTATCACACTTTGACAATTAACGCCAGGTGCGGTGTGGCCGTAATTCTTGGCACCCTACATCTGAGATTACATAACAGAGGGTTGGTTCAGGGCTCTGATTGTTTTGGCAGTTATACTTTCTTGATTTATGCAATTTAAATGTTTGAAAGTTTACACGGTTTGTTTGAAATTTCCGTTATAGACAGATTAAAAATACTTCTGGCATTACTTCCTTAGATGAGACACGTGCTTAACAGTTGGATGTATAATGAGTTGATTGAAATAATCTCAGTACAGAGTACTAAAAAAACCGACCTCAAAAGTACGTGGAATTACGTCTATTTGCTAAGTTTTATTGAAATATCCCCTAGTTCGCCACTATACAGGACTTGACCCTGGAGATCATTGACTTACAAATAAATGGACGACGGGTCTAATACAAAAACCTCGAAAAAAATGTCCCAAGTCAACCTATTCGAAATTTAAATTGTAATGTCATCGCAGTATCGCGCTGTCAGTAGAACAAATGAAGACTAAAGCGGAGTTTGGCGCTCTGTATACGATTTTAGCGTCTTACAAGTGCGGACACTTTTTAGCGCGGACCGACGTCCATATAATTGTAAGTCAATGCTGGAGATAATAAAAATAGGTTCTCACTACGACACTACTGAAAGTATATTCAGAGAAAAACGCCTTGAATTTGAGAAATAGCAAAATCAACCATTAAAGTAATTGCTCCTAAATTAATGTTAGGCGCTATTTATGAAAATGAATCTTCATGCGTGAACAGCCACCCTTTGAGGTGGATGATTTTCTTCAAAATGAAATGGGACCACTATGGAAGTACCCCCTTTTCAACAAAAAAAGAATCATGAACAGTAACAAAAGTATTGACGTAGCTTTGCTTTATCTCTTTGACATTAGTAACAAACAGTAGCATTGTTTTAGCAGCAGTAGAGCTCGTAAAAGAATTCGTCCAGCGAAGTACTGCCACCTTACATATTTCAAGCAGTAACGTGAGCATTACTGCGTTCCAGTTTGGAAGGGTAACGGTGCTGGTGAAATTACAGGCACATGGGACTAGTCAACTTATGACTCAGGGCAACGATACCAATATCCTGTACCTCTACCACGAGTTTACTTTGAGAGTAGTCGCTAGCGACCGCGTAAATACTTCACAATTTTGTATGGCAAACTATACAGCGCCTCTGGCGGTCACATGGAGAAACACCAAATCAAATCAAATCAAATCAAATCATTTTATTCGTCATCATGGGTATAACAGTACAGATGTTAACGTTTAAAATATTGATCTCCATGACGTACCATCAAGGCATACGAAATGTAGAGTCTCAAAGAAACATTATTAATAAAAATCACATTACATTGACCAACTAATTATACATTATTAAATTAAACCAAGGCAATCTTAAATTTAAAAATAAAGTGATACAATTAAACAAATGTCAATAAATTAAAATACGTCATCAATTACAATACACAGTCATGTCTTTTATAAATTAATAAATATACAAAAATTCCTCCAGGGAGTAGAATGTTTTTTCAATAAGATAGTTAAATAATTTGCGTTTAAATTCGTCGAAAGTGTCACTCTGCCTGATCTGTAATGGCAATTTATTATAGATTTTAGGTGCCATTACGAACATGCTTTTTTGAAGCAATGCAGTTCTACAAATTCTTTGGCGTAGCTGGCCTAGACGACGTGCTCGTGTGGCCAAGGGAATAAGGTCCGGGTGATGTCGTATAAATAAGGCGGTTTCATAAATATACATGGATGGCAAAGTCAGAATTTTTAACTCTTTGAAATAATTTTTACAACTGTCGGTCTGTTTTAGGCCACAAATTGCCCTTATACATCTCTTTTGAGCTCGAAAAACTTGTATGATATTACTTGCGTTACCCCAAAATAAGATTCCATATCTGAGTGTTGCAGCTACGTAACTGTGGTAAACCACAAGTAAAGCGTTTTTATTAACCACCTTAGACAATTTAAAAAGAGCATATGATTGCTTCGATAGTTTGTTACATATTACTTGAAGTTGCTCTTCCCATTGCATTTTCCTATTTATGTAGATTCCCAGGAATTTGGTCTCTTGTGTTTCATCTATGACATGGTTGTTATAAATTATTCTGTTTGTCAGAGAGTTGTCGCCTCTCTGCTTGAAATTCATAATCATTGTTTTGTCAAAATTTAGTAATAAATTATTCGATTTTAGCCATGTCATTACATTTACTAGGGAGTCAAATATTTCATTTTCATTCTCAAATATAATAGTACAATCGTCAGCGAATAAAGTCATATGATTTGGAATCGATGTAGGCATATCATTAATATAAATAATAAATAGCAATGGGGCGAGTATACTGCCCTGCGGCACTCCGTACTTCACAGTTCTTGGAGAAGATTCGTACGTACCTTCGATTTTTGTTTTTAAAGAAATTCTACTAATTTGTGTTATTTGTGTTCTATTGCTCAGATATGATTTTATTAATTCTAGAGTATTACCGCGTATACCATAAATTTCTAATTTTTGTAATAATATGTTGTGATCCACATAGTCAAAAGCTTTTGACATGTCCATATACAGTGCCATTACTGGTTGTCTCATGTCCATTCTACTATAAATAATATTCAAAAATTCATAAATTGCAAGTTCGATGGATTTATTTTTGCGAAAACCCTTTTGTTCGTTACAAAATATGTCATTTATTTCAAAATAATTATAAATACTATTAAAAATCACTTTTTCAACAATCTTCGAAAATATAGGTATCAAAGCTACAGGTCTATAATTTTTCATAATGTCACTTTGACCTTTTTATAAAGTGGTTTAATTATGGTGGTTTTAAGTTTAGATGGGAATGTACCCTGCTCGAGGCATAAGTTGATTATGTGACTTAGCATTGGTGAAATTATATCACACACAATTTTAATTATGTTTGTACTTAATTCATCGTAACCTGTACTGTTTGTACTCTTTAAGTCTCTTATTATTTTACGGACTTCTTCCGGCTTAACAGGTCTTAAGAAAATCGATTTATAGCCATTAAACTTACAATATTTTATACCTTCATGTGAGCAATAATTTATAGGTTGCACCTGATCTATGAAATAGTTATTAAAATTTTGTGCTATCTGGTTGGGATTTGTAATATTTTTTCCATCGACGGTTATTTGCGTTATGTTGTCCTTTGGAAACTGTTCCTTAGTGCTATTGATGATAGACCATGTTGCTTTAGATTTATTTTTAGAATTAAGTATATAATAGTTATTTTGGGATTTTTGTGTTAATTTTAAAATTTTCTTGTATCTTAAAGAGTATTTCCGAAATATTTCTTTGTCATGATTACTTTTTGAAATTCGATAGGTCCATAACAGATTTCTTCGACGTTTACTACAGTTTTTTATGCCACGTGAAATCCATTTGGGTTTTCGCTGAGTACAAATTTTCCTTCTTACAATAGGGAAGCATAGATCATAGAGTAATTTGAACAAACTAAAAAACTCGTTATATGCGTCATCAGCTTCATTCGATGAAAATACTTCATTAAAACTTAATTGTGTCAGGTGTTCCAAAAACTTGTAAATGTTTTCTGCACTATAGTCACGTTTCATTGTAAACCAGTAATTAAATTTACACATTGTTTTTACGGGAATATTTAACAGCTGTGCACTGTGATCAGACATTTCCCAATCAAGAACTTCACTCTGTATACCGCGAATGTTTTTTGAAAATAATATGTTATCAATACAGGTGCCACTCCTTGGCCTAGTGATAGTTTCAACAGCAGGTTTTAAGTTAAGATTATACATAATTTGTGTAAATATTTTTGTGTATTTATTTGTATTATCAAGTAAATTAATATTTAAATCGCCACATATGACAATTTTTTTACTGTTGTTACCTGTCAGGGATGTAATCATATCACAGAATTTACTGAAGAACATCTCAAAATAATGGTCTCTATTTCTATTTTTCGGAGGTCTATAAACGCAAGCTATTATCAGTTTTTGTTCTACGAGTTCTAAAGCACAGCATTCTATAACATTAGGCACGTTAAATTTATGTATTATGTCAATATTTTTGTATTTTAAATTATTTTTTATTAGTATACATGAGCCACCATTTCTTCTGCATCTAGTAAAGCGTGATGCTAGTTTAAAGTTAGGAATATTCAGTAAGTCAATGTCATCTTGTACCATATTATGTTCTGTGATGCAAATTATATCAATCTCTCTTTCACAATCCCTTAATTCATCTAAATTTACTATTAGTTCGTCAGATTTATTCAAAAGCCCATCAATATTTTGATGTAGAATATTCAGCCTATTGTACACGAAAAAGCTGTTCTTTGATTTCACTGCTGACTGTATCCGCCAAGGGATACAAACCCTCACTGCTTATTTCTATGGGTTCCGTTTGAGTACCTTTGCTTGTATGTGATTCCAGGTTTTCAGTATTTTTAACGTAATTGTCATAGGACAATTTATAACTAATATGCAATATTTCTCTTAATATATGTCGACATAAAAATGATGCAAAATTATAACGTTTAGGAATGAATCTCTTAAAATCTAAATCCAAGTAAGCAACATTTTTAAACTTCCCACAGATTAGCTTGATGGTATGACTTAAGTTAGCCTCATTAAGATGCTTGTTTAATGGTGTTTCACATATTATGACATTCGTGTTTGATAGTAAACTTAACCACAATAAAAGGTTACATTGAATATCTAAAGGGTTGTCATCATTCATACAGCCCAACAATACAACATAGTCCCGAGACGTAAGTAACGATAATTCGGTTTTGTACGAATCTATTATATTTACAAGCTTTGCTCCAGGTTTCCAATATGAAAATATAGAAAATTTGGAGCCCAGTAGTTTTTGCAGAGACTGTCTAACTCCTTTTCCCTGTTGGTCTGCTAATACATATACCTTGCTATTTCCAGTTGATGTCAACCTACTGTTTTGCACCTCATTTTCTTTCCAAGTGTTGTTCTTGTCTCCATTGTTGTTGTTGGTAATATTTTTTGTATTTTCTTGTGTGTGTTTAGGAATATCGATAACTCCTCTTTCTATTACAGTATGATTTTTCCCTTGTCTTTTATCTTCTGAGGGTTCTTTTCGGCTTTCTTCCTCCTTGGATGAGGGTAGATGGACAATTTTCTTTTCTTTAGTGTTGTTTTTCCCTATTATCGTGTCATCTCCAAGACTAGAGTAATTCAGGTCTTCAAATTCTTTATCTTGTTTGTTCTTTACTATTAAGTGACATTCCTGTAATTCACTGATCAGTTTTTCATTCTTCCGTTTCAAATTAAAGATATTGTTTATAAGTTTTTTTGTTCGTTGTAGTTGTTTTTTCGTCCCTTTCCTAAGTCTCTTCATATTTTCTGTCTCCAATTTCGGCAACTTTCCAAAATTCTCTAACTCAACTTCTGTTTGTGTAGATACAGTTACTTGCAAACGTAGATCATTATTAGGTTTTTGTGGGCTGTTATGGGATATAACCTTTCTAATCTTACGGATCACCGGGGACGAAATTTTGTCAAAAGATTCAGCTAGGCCAATTTCCTTAAACATGTTTACCGTTTTCTTGAGTTTTTCAACAGTGCGTTTTAGTTCATTATTTTCCAAAATCATGTTTTCTATTTCTTGATCTGCAGATCCCAAATTTCGAGTCAAAGTTTCTATTTTTAGTTTATATTCTTCCAATAGAAAATTATTTTGTCCTGAGATTGAGGGTAGGCTGTTTGTTGACGTCTCCAGGAGTGATGAATTAGTCGTTATATCTTTTCCTGTATCACAGTCCGATTGAGAGAAAGACCTTGTTTTCTTTCTGATAGTAATATTCATGTGATCCATTTTTGATGTAGGTCAAATAATAATAATAATTTTGACAAGCAATGAGAAATAATTAAGAAGACAAAAAAAAAAAAAAAAAAACTGGTCCTTTGTAGTCGTCAGATTCGAACTCGGAACCCCTGAATTCAAACTGTCCGTGTCAGCCGCTTGGCCATGACACTTATGACGTCAAGTAGCGAAATAGTCAAACACTTCGTTCACTAACGACTTGTTTCGAATCTGTTAACATTTTATCAATGTGGGTATTCAAGTTCGAAGTCCAAATATTGTAATCAGTTGTTCGTCGATGTATTGTTATTTGAAACTACACTGTACGATATTGATTTGAAGTATTTGTTTATGTAGTAATGGTTTATTTAGTCACTTTCGACACTGATTTACACTATTACTTATGAGAAATGTTCACTTTATGGTATATTTTGCTTTCGTTTCTACACTCGAAATATTTACCGGTTGTATCGTCCTTTATCACTGCAATATTAGATCGTAACATTAACACTATGAAAGTTATCGCTTTTACAAACAATTTGTACTAGTCTTTATGTAGTTCAGTGCGCTTTTACAATTTTTTAATATTTACAAACGGGGAGATACTTCAAAACGATACTCGCGTTGCGATCGCCACGCCACCTCACCATTTATATACAAACATTTTACGCGGTCGCTGCTGGACGAACTCTTAAATTCTTTGGTTTCTCATGTTCTTTTACAGGTCTCTTAATGTCTGATTCGATCTCTCTTTTCGAAAGACCTTTCTTTTCGTTGATTTTGAGTTTTTTTATGTGGTCCATAGTGGGTGGTCACATCTCAGTACCGTAAGTCACCACTGGCAATATGCTTTAGTTAAAGATTTACTTCAAATGAGAAGACCTGGCGCAATTGTGTACTTACCACGAAATTATATGAAAACATTTGAAAAATGTCAAAGTTCCGTTTATATTTGGGTCAATTTAGGAATGAATTTCAAACAGTAAAAAGTTGCCGAAATTCCTTTCCGGGTTTTGCAGTTAGCACGCAAACAGGAAAATTCCCAAAATGGTATGCCGCAATTTGCGAGGCAGTGACGGTATTTGGTGAATATGTGGACTGTACTTTATTTTTCTTTTAAAACTAAAATGTATTCTTAGTTAAATAAGTGGACAATAGGTTTTCATAATTCAAACTAAATAGTTAGTAATTCGAGTTCTTAGGTTTTCGCGATTGTTACACATAGGAAATGAAACTATTTTTCCGGATTTAAATCGCGTATATTTGTTTTTTCAAACAAACCGACGTTTCGGGCCCTTTACAGGTCCCATGATCACGGTTGACTGAGGTGGTACAGTCTTCAACCAGTTATGTCTAATATTGATGCAAACCACCCTATTTTTTCACTATAGTTACAATAGTTATTAATTAAATACCTTATTTTTAATTTTACAAAGAAAACATTCCAATTTACGCTACATTAAGTTTTACAAATTATTTTATTGAATGAATTTTTATTAAGTTTAATTTATTATTAATTATTAATAGAAATTAGAATAAACTAAAACATATTAATTAGTACTGCAGTCTTATGTCTGTTTGGAATTTTTCATTAGAGGAAATACTGGATCCCAAACTTCCGCTGGCTCAAACTTCCCCATAACACTGGCAGCATTACCGCGTTGAATCACCAACGAAATTTGTTGCACCAAGTAAGATCCAGAGCCTGTGTCTCTAAGCCGACGACCCAACTCCATGAAGAATTCTTTGGCCTCCGCATCTCAAGTCCCCGCCAGTTCCACTGGAATTGGCACAAAATTATGCATTGGTTCCAAGACACTGTACTTTGCATGTTTTTATTTGACTTTTTTTGGAGTTACTATCTGTAAATATGGAAATTAGCAGTATTCTTGAGTTATTTATTGGTCCATGCTTAGACCAAATCAAATCAGGTTAGTGGAAGCCGCGACCGTGCGGGGCGAAGAAATTGCACTTTGACAAATGGATGCTATAGATCCCTCTACTATTGTATTTCTCATAAATGTGTAATGGAGATAGTCGTGCTGCGTTAAGCATTTCTTATACTAAATAATACGGCACGTTATGTAGCTTTTTAATACCAGCATTGACTTCTAAATTAGCATTTCGTTTCAGACCAATTCCAGGAGATATGTGGTCGTCAGCTCAGTTCGTCAAGTTAGTAGTTTCAGTTTAGATGGAAAAAATATTCTCCTAGTTTGTTATAATACGTTTGTTATAGTACGTGATCTATGACCTTTTCATATGCCTCACATCCGAGACTGCTAAATAATAAATGAGATCTACACATCAACGTATGAATGATTCAAAAAGTGATTAACTTTTGATCTTCAATATAAAACGTGATAACACCAGTTTGGTTAAGTTTCTGTGTGTGCAGGATGTTATAAAACAAAACAAAAATACTTTGGGGTTTTTCTTTCAGAGGCAATTCAGTAGTAGAAAGCTTCTTGTGAAAGAGTTCATCTAGGGAAGTACTGCCACCATTGACCTACCAACAAATGGACGTGTGGTCTAATACAAAAACCACGAAAAAAATGACCGAAGTTAACCTATACAAACGTAGTGACATGTAACGAAATATAAAAAAAACTAAAACATTTAATTTAAATTGTAACGTCATTGTAGCACTACCTAAATTAGCTTGCGACAATTTAAAGGGCCCGAAAACATATATATGTGTATATATAAATTAAATACTATACAACTGTACAAAATAACACTTTTAAATGATAACTATGATGACACAATATATTTGTTTAGAGAAAATATGATACAGAATCCAGTTTTTACACTTTACTGCAGTAATTTTTACAAGTTATTATTATATGGTACTGCATGATTGACAACCGCGCTGTCAGTCGAACAAATGAAGACTGTTGCGCGATTGACGCTCTGTATGCGATTTTAACGCGCTATAGGTGCGGACAGTTTTTAGCGCGAACCCGATGTCCATTTGTTAGTAGGTCAATGACTGCCACCTAGCATTAATGCGTTTCGGTTTTAAAGGGTCTTAATTTTCTTGCCGCGAAACGGCAATAGTACACTTATGTCAATTTCGAACCAAAAAACAGGTGTCGCGTCTTCCGAAGAATTCTCGCGTAGTTTCAGGAATTCCCGCTAACGTATCGAATCTACTTTGTACGATACAAAATTCACAACATCAAACATAAAGTCCATTATTCTTTGTACAATTTCGTTTCAAAAATTGAAATTGAGCCTATGGGTGCTGGTGAAACTACATGGAACTTGCCAACTTTATGTCTCGGAGTGGCGGGTGCAATTAAAAGCTCTGAGTGGCACTGCACCTATAATGGGTAGGTATGTCACTTACCAACAGACGTTCGATTTGCATAAAGGAGTATGTTTAAAAAAATAAATATATTCGACTTAGATCCGAAAAAATAGTTTAATTTCTTACATGATATACTTATGCACTTAGAGTTCTTCTAATTTCAGCTATTTTTTATTTAATAGACACGCGCTTGGCTACAAACTCGCTGATATTAAGCGATTTTTGTCTAAAGCGAGTTTGTATAAAAAAGTCTATTCACTCTAGCCTTGAATAGCCCCAAATTGTACTTTTCGGGAAACACAGATAAGTTTGTGGTAGCCGGTAGAGTATTGCTCTCCTTTGCCGTACGGATCAGAAAGGAGGAAGCAAAGCGCGACATAAGGATGGAGTGTCCGGACCTTCTAGACAACCGAACGGTAAGGGTGGAACTAAATTGAAATATTCCCACGCACACTCTCCCATAGAAACGTAAACTAGTAATAATGTGGACAAAAAGGACACGCTGTATTTCAGCCTCTGCCTGTGTTCTGGTGAAGTTTGTCGGAACGTGACTGCTGAAATGCGAAACACAAATTCTACAACAAAAATAATCTTTTTAATCTATCTTAAAGGTTAGAAGCATTAAACTGTGTTTATAAAATGTGTGTCTGTTTAAAGATAAAACTACATAAGTGACATTTTAAACAAAAAGTCTTTAATTTATATAGCTATGGTATAAAATCACTATCTATCGGCACGTGAAACTCAGTAATAGAAAAAGTTATAAACTTAATAAGAGTTTTATCTGCAGAAAGATGGTGATTTTCTTACTACAGGTAATTTAGAGATATTTTGTGGAAAATGTCACTTACGTAGTTTTACCTTTAAGCAGACGATATAATCTGTTCATCGTATATGGTCTAAAAACATTTGGATTTCTTCCTTGGTCTCATCGTATGCCATCAGGCGTACACTACATTATTATGGCCCAGAAGCTATTGCCGCTACTCGCGCCGCTAGTAGAAGCGTCTATATTGAAGTGTGGGACACGTTTGCCACCGTAATTACAGGATTTGCCGTAACGACGTGCCGATTCGACGTAACGTACCCGCCAACTGTTACCTAGTCTGCGCCAGACGTACAGAGGAATTCTATATGGAGGGGTCTTTACTCCCAGCGGGCGCTGAAGAGTCCTAGGGCAGAGGCCTCAAAAGCAATTGGGGAGCGTTGACGGTGTCCAGGGGTGCTATTGTATCTGAAAAAATACCTAAATTATCTATATAAACCATTATACAAATATATCATTTTTCCCTTGTGATTTTTTGTGTTAAGTAATAAAAAAATACATGTTTTGAAATATTTTTTGTGGTGGTGGATTTTTTTTATCTTGCCTAAGTGGGCGGTTATCCAAAAAGGTTTAGAACTTGGTAACCAAAACTCGAAATGGATTTTTGGCGGTTGTCCAATATCGTACGTACGTAAACGTGTTAAGCAATAGTAGACAGAAAACTTAGTTATGAACGTGATATTCTCGATTGTGCTATTAGGATAGTCGTTCATATATTTTCATATCAAATTATGGGATAAGAAGTTCGTGCGCTAGGTAAAAAGCTACACGCTTATCTCTAACAGTCGCAGTGCCACTCGTAGTTTTAAATTGCAAAGATCTGAGGGGTACTGTAAAGTTGCCAACATCGAGAATATAACCAGAAATAGAGAC